CACCAGTGAAAGAGCCAGCAAATCGTCTAGAGGGTGGCTTGAAAATTCACAAAATGGTCCATGTACCTAACAGTAACAATAAGAAGAATGGTGCCTGAGAAATTGTCGCGTGAATACTAAGCACAAGGTTAGAAAAGAAACAAGTATCATGTGTGCAGGCTGTGGTGTGGCTCTCTGCAAACTTTCATGTTTCAATGTTTATCACACGAAGAAAAACTAATAAAGAGGTATGGAAAGGCATTTATTGCATAAAATATTGTATTTTAATTAGTTCCTGAAAATTTCGTTTTTAAAAACCAATTTTTGTTGAAGTTGTTTAGGAAAAAGTAACTACATGCATTTTAGCGACATAAGGTTTAAAGGGCCTGCCAGGACAGGGGTGGGATTTAAATACCCTTTGCGCCAGTCAAAGAGTTAATAGCCATCATCAGGCAAATACATGGTTAACATATATACACCACTGAACTGCAGTACTAGCAAAATTGGATACAATATTATTAATTATATAAAACACGCTACAAATAAGTTCACGCCGTCGTCCCAATATAGCGAATTTATTTCCTTCGCTCACTTACACACTTTACAGGCATTTTCACTTGCAGTGTCACAATCACTGCTCACAATATTCGGCGAGACACTGGACTCTCTTCTCCGAAGGCTGGCCCGAGACTCTCTTCTCCGGAGGCTTGATCACGGCTGGCTTCTTAGCTGGCTCTTCCGAGACTGACTGTTTCTCGCTGAAGCTGGGCTATTTATAACCTTGCCCGCTGTTAGGCAACGAACCCTTTGTTATAACAGTGGAAACGTCACTTTGTTGGCTCCGCGTTTCCTACGCAATAACCCATTGTTATCGCGTTGTCTCTGTGGGAACCTTCGCGTATTCTCGTAACCGTGGAGATTCGATGTTTTCGGTACAATGGCTCACTGTTGGGGTTACAGTGCCGCTATTGTTACTTCCTATGTAACGGTCCATTCTAGCGTTTCCCTAGAAGTTACTCCTCTGGTTTGCCAACACGTTACAATACAATAAATCAGATTATATAAAACAGAAGTTATAGTATAAAACAAGAATAAAATTCTTAGATTTATGTTTTATATCATCGAATCAGTCATTGGTTTTGTAATTTCGTTGTGTTCCCATGGACAAATTGGAATATTCTATATTTTTGTGTATATAAAATTGTATAGGAGGCTCGTGACGTAGATGTAGTAAATTAATATTAATTGTTTAGTCAGTGCCTCATCTTACAAAGTATTGTCCGTTCTGTAGGGAATGTAAACGACTCATCTCAGTCTTTCTACTCTAAGAAATTGTGAGCTGTGCTTGTGGGAACATGATTAGCTGTCAAAAGGAAGGAATTTTGTCACACATTTAAGTTCAGCATTTCAACTGGAGAAAGTATGCTTCACTGAATCTACCGCATTTTGTTTCCTCTATGATGTGTGTGGCATTTGATGACATATACCAGAGAAAAGACAAAATATTATGCAATTAACTTTGATGTCAGAAGATAGTACTGAATGTTTCAGCTCTTCAAGCATGGACCATACCACCATTCATCCTGTGTCTGATAGGTTGAAGTTACATGGATTGTAAGGTGAAAATGACCCATAGGGTACCAGCAGTCCCAACCCAAAGACAGTCAGTGCACACTCACTTGCCAGAGAGTTCCACAAGTAGAGTCCCGGCACTCCGGTGGCTGTTCCAATGGGGGTGGTGGCTGTATTGACAACAGCAAACAGAGCAGAGAGACTAGCAAACAGCAGTGCACCTCCCAGACAAGCAATCGCAGCAACCCACAGCCCGTACAGGAGAAACTCACGGTCTGTTTGCATCAACTCTATCACTGCAATCAAATTCACATCCACATTTAATATTATCACCTCATCTCCTTCTACATCCCTACCAAAACTCTAACCACTTATTAATTCTCATATCCAAGTTACTTCTCCAGGCAAGCCATCCTTGTCCCTTGTAATGTAATTTCTGCGAGTTCATGTCTTTGGCACAAAAATGTTGAGAATCAGCAGCATTGCAGGAAAGCCATAGTAGTCTTGCAATCTCAAACAGAGGAAGACAACTGTCATGAATGTTGGTATGACATTGAATACCTCTATGTCTCGGTCATTTTTGTGAGTTCTTTCCACAAAGCGCACAACATGGGAGTGCTTCATCTATCCACATGTTGCATACACAAAACTACTGAATGGATTTTACTGAAATTCCGTTAGTAGATAAATGAGGGAATTCAATTTAGGTTGGGAATAGTCTGACACCTCGCCCTCAACTCTGCAAATCAAACTTCATCTGGCGGAAACTTGGTGCCTCACATAAAATAAACACACTGACTGACTGACTGGAGCCACACCTTTTCAGACTCGGTAAATATTTAATGAAATACAAACGCGAAATAATTGTTTTTTGCCTTGCTGTGTGATCACCTTTGCAATTTTACCGAAATAAATGAACATAAAATTCAGTCACACTGTATGATGTTTACATCTTTCTGCTGCCGTTAATTCTCTGTCATTCAAATGACCAAATGACGGCGAATAACTCAGTCACTTAATGACTTGGCTTCAAGATGACGACTGGGGAATCCGGGTTCGATTCCCAGCAAGGGCAGATTTTCTTTGTGCACCACTTTCGTACCGGCTTAGGCCGCACCAGAGCCCAAGCGTTTAGTTGCTGGCTTCCCACCACGACGGTCCGGGTTCATACCCAGGTCTGGTCAAGTGGGAATTGTGGTGGACAGAGTGGCGTTGGGGTAGGTTTTATCCGAGTACTTCGGTTTCTCCTACCAATCTTCATTCCACCAAATTCTCCATCATCATGAACACCCGGGGCAGGTAAATAGGCCAATCGGTTGCCGCCGTGCTGAGTAGACCCAACTGGACTCCACCCACCACTATGCAAAAAAAAAAAATAATTCGTGCCTGCTGTGTATCCCACCCAGCCTAATCCATTAGATAGATTCCATGACTTTTTTCGACAGGGAGTGAAGCTCATTGCTCACTCACATCCGCTCTCGCGTGCCTCGCCACGGCGTGGTGACTTCGCTGGCCATGATACACTTTGAGGTCGTCAGGTTCGCTGTGTATTACATCTGAGGAAGAGCCATTGGTTGCAATATTTGGGGGAAGTGTAGCGCTTCATTCCAACTACACGAAATATTTTTATTTGGTTATTTGACGCGTGAAATCTTTATTTTGGCAAGCAATACACGCTTCTTCAGTTGTGGACGACGCAGTTTCGAGTTCAGACGACATGTCGTTTGATGGAAACTTTCGACCACGGTTGATAAATACGAGTATATTGCATATAATTTCTAAAAGCATGACTGCTAGGTCCCGGTATAGCAACTGGCTACGTTCGGGCTGGGCGGCAGAGTAGTCAGAGTTCGAGTCCCGGTAGGATCAAGTACTTTCTACACTTCGTCCAGACTGGTTCTGGGGCCCGCCCAGCCTCCTATACAATGGGTACCGGGGGTAAAACGGCCGGAATGTGAAGCTGACTGAACTAGTACCAAGATCAAGAAAACGCACACATCCACATACCCCCTTCATGGTGTAGTGCTTATTTAGTGAAATAGTAATTTTAAATACGCACGAAATGAATTAGACATGTGATGGGACAAGAAAATACTGAAGGATAACTTTTGTCTGGTTAAAACGCAGTCGGAATTGTTAATTTTATGCGTCGCCGGAAGGTTGCTGACGTCATACTGTTAGTTTACAGCATAATCTTGTGGGCAGTTCAGTGTGGAATGCGAGTCAAAGTGAACGGCGCACAACGCAGCACTTTCATAGAATTTAACAGTAATCTATGGGGGAAACAGCTCAACAATTAATAATGTAGGAATTTTGTTAAGAGAATGGGCAGGCAGCGGAATTTTGTTAAGAGAATGGGCAGGCAGCTTGGTGCTTTCTGTAGGCCTGCATGGATGTGGCATACACGTATGGTTCTCTGCGTGTGCACAGATCTCCGGTTTATCCGCCCAATCTCTGTATTCAAAGAACAAGAAGTACTTGGAAAATCACATGACATCACCATTCAGCGCTTCGCATGTTGTAATGGAATCCGAAATATCAAACCTGAGCCATTTCTCTTATGTTCGCGTACTTGACACCTTGTTTGTATTTTAATATTAAGACTCCGCCTATGCTTAAGTCTCGTAAGTGGCCGGTCTCTTTGAGGATGTTCAGACAGTATTTTTTGCATTTACTTCCTTCCATCAACTCCGTCCGTCGTCCTTGAATGCAGATTGTAGCAGGACAAGATAAGAAAACTTATTTATAACATTCACTGTTTGTGTTTGAATAAATACAGCACATGTCGCTTTGCCAAATATTTGTAAAATTGCAACGCAACAACTTCCGAGAAACGTCGCCGGTTTCAAGCAGGAAACTGGTTTCCAGACTAGCAGGCGCACGCTGAGGAAACTTATGTTTGATTAGCTGCTCACCTCGTCTCAAGCGGGTGTGTTGGTTCGACTAAATGCGCGAATGTAATTTTGAATTTCGTGCACGTATCTTCTTCAATGTCAGATAATAATACTGATCCTGCCATAACATGGTGGTGGTTGAGCCGGCGTGAAAAAAGAGGACAACAATGAGGAAAACATTGGGATGTTTGTTTATTTTAATTAAGACCAATTTATTTTAAGTCACAGGCGATATGAAATCTTTACGCACAGTGCAGCAATTTTAGCAAGATATAAGACGCCTGATAATGGCGGAATACAGCCGAACCATGTACGTAATATGGAAGTAAGAGTGGCTGTATAACAAGTTGTATTTAAGACTATGTGAAATGAATGATATATTAATGTAACAGGGTGCTCTAATGAAATATTAAGAAAAGAAAACTTTGGTTGCATCCGTCCGTCAGTGAAAATTTAAACCGAGGTGCTTATTGTTGTTTCGAAAGAAATTAACCAGGATCCAGACTCCTTCGTCTCATGAGAAATTCTTTCCCAAGCCAAATCTGTTTTGTCCTGCCTATCATAGTCCTCGTGACATTTGTCATATATACCAGACACCTGCTCGATTAACTGCACAATAACCAAATTACCAGCTTCGTAAACCTTTCGTGCCATTCAAAGAAGCAAATTAATCCCAGAAGCACGTTATACATGGTAGAACAGCTTACACGAGGAAACCACGCGGCAACGAAACTGTAAGAAGACAGGCTTCCTCATTTTCCTGTGAGTTGAGCTGAGTTTCTCAAATCTTCTGCGAGATGCGTTGCGATTTTGTTGCCGTTTACTCAATTTGCGTTGCTCCATTCAGTTGCACGTGTGCAGCTCAGTCTGATAACAATTCTCGGAAATTGCGGTTGCCCGTTTCCTTGGTGTGCCCTCACGCTTACAGCTGTTCATACTTCCATTGCCACTAGTCGCTGTCCATTTATTTGTTATGCTTCATTTAATGACTATATCAGTAGAGCACCTGCCATTATCATCATCGTTATCACCAGATGGTTACACTAGCGCGAAGTGGAGCACAGGCGCTGACAGAAAAATGGAAGTAAACAGGAAAGTGTGACATTAGCAGCGCTGGAGCAGGAAGCGAAACAAGTGGAGCTTGTCATCCAGTTCCTCGTGTTCAGTGGCACGGACAAATGAGAGTGTTACAAAAAACTTTTCATGCAGGCGTCTTTCCGAATCGTACCATAAGCCCATACATGTTGACTGAGATACGCAAAAAGAGACATTCCCACTCGCCAACCCGAATTAAAGCAACAGAAGGGAGATCACAGAACTGCCTGTCACAGGGTACAGTCACCACACGCAGTCTATGGTGAGTCTCAAGGTGAAGTTGCGCCTGTGTCTTGGCGCGATGTCACGATGACGAAGAAGAGGCGATGGAGAAAAGGAGCTTGCGTAATTTAAACTCGGTCTGAATGGGGGTGATTAGTCCGTCTCACACCCCAACCGTCTTATCTGCAATACAGATTGCATTGAAGGCCCCTGCCGGGAAACTAATCTCGGTCGTCCAGCCCCGTAGCCAGTCTTTCTCCTGAGTTATATAACGATATGTGCACAGGTTATACAAACTACTGTGATAGGATGGTTGTAAATTATGAATAGGGGAAAAAATTTGAAAATGAATGCGATCTATTTGTAGGTACCATGCAAGCATTTGCCTGCAAAAGATTGAAAAGTGACAATCCGTTCACTGCCTTCACGAAGCCTCAACTCTCGAATACACTCCACATCGTCAAAGTCCATTTTAATATTATACTTCCGCCTATGCCTACTTCCGCAAATTATGTCTTCTGGTGAGTATTATTCTCTGTACTGTATGTATTTCTAGTTTTGTGCTACATGTCTCGCCCATCTCACACACTGGAATAAAGTACAAAATGTGTGTTTCAGCGTAGAGGGCCCTGAAATGTCGCTGACAACAGTCCGTTTGTGCTGATTCAGCACAGGAAACTAGGTTCCCAGAATGATTCACAGTCGGCCCTTCATTTTTATTCAATTTAACCCGAAAATAGAAGCTGTAATTTTTCACATGAGAGATTTTCGAAAGAGAATCGAACCCCATCTAATCAAAACAGCAGAGGACTGGACTTCAGTGCTGCCAGCTTCATACGGTAACATTATACCATCGTGACTGTGTCAGGAGACCTTGGCACAGTTTTGTCCGCTGCTGAGAACAACCGCCAGCAGCTGGTGGCCAAGAAGATTCGAATCGCCAGGATGAAGTTAAAACAGGACTGAACCTGCATAGCTTGTGGTTCAAGACTATCTAGCCAAGGCGAGAACTGCTTCATACCACCAGAATTAGGTGAATCTTTAATGTCCCATATCTTAGCGTAATTAACTAGTACAGTGTGCGGAAGCTGCACACAGGACAGCAAATCGACTGATTGTGCCCACAAGGTGCGTGACCGACATTTCGGAGGAACATATCGCCTACATCTTCATGGTCTAGAAGAAAGCCTAGTAAGAAACAACATGAAGCAGACGGTAAGCTGCTAGCCCTTAAACCCTGAAGACATGGGCGATATATTCTTCCGAAAAGTCGTTTTTTTCCCCCGAACAACGCTGCGTTATAAGTCCGTCATCACGGAATTCTTCTTTTAACAATTAGAGCTGAAGTGAGGAATTATCTACACGTTCCGACGGCCTTCGACCCCGACAGAAGTCCAAGCTCCGGCCAGATTGGTTTGTAAAGTTACGGACCCTGGGTCGGCTAGCGATTTGGAGGCACGGGACAGGAAGTGGAGCAGCTCAGGGTCACGGTCCAGTACGGGAGAAGCACGAACCGGAAATGGGTGCGTTCAGTGCAGCTGCAGTCCTTTGTTATTGTATAGCTTATGTTACGGAAAATATTGATTCCAGCTGCACTGGCCAAACAGAAGGCGCTGTGACGGCCTGGCGGGCAAGGACCGCAGAGTATGCCCGCGGGGTTTTTCTGTTCTCTCGACGACCCGGCTCAAGAAGTCGAGTTTGTGTCAACGATTCTTACACAATTCAATGCATACCCGTAGGTTCATTATCGTCACAATAAAATATCAATATCAATATTAATGTTATCCCCTCCTAGAATCCAAAACGGCCACATGCATCTGATGTCTTGGTAAGACGAAATAAATGACGCAGACTAATACAAAGACAGCAGCTTCCAAAATGTGGCAAAGTTCAAATACTTCGGAATGTAATTTAAAAATCAAAACTGAATTCATGACAAAATAAAAATGAGATTAAATTGGGAAATTAATTCTAATGTTCAGTTCGAAACGTTTTGTCTTCTCGCCTGCTATCTGAAAGAGTTGGGACTAAAATATGCAGAACCACAGTGGCCACTGGTTTTGTATTGATGTGGAATTTGTCTGTAACATTAAGGGAAGAAAGTAGATAGAGGGCACTTGAGAACAGGGCATTAAGGAGAACACGTGAACCTCAGAACCGGAGGATGAGAAACGTTGCATGTGAGCTTCATAACATGTGCTCTCCGCCAAATATTTATTAGGTTTATTATATAAAGGAGGATAAGACGGGCAAGACATGTAGCATGCGTGGAAGAGGTGAGAATTTCAGTCGCAGACACTGAAGGGAATTGAACAGTTGAGAAATCTATGATCAGATGTGAGCATAATATTAAAATTGATCTCAGAGAAACAGGGGGTGGACTGGGTTCATGTGGCTCATACACGCTCCACTGGGAAGCTCTCCATGAAGACAGTTGCAAATGAGATGGGTCGTTTCTAAACGCATTGCATAACGAAAGTATTTTGTTCTCCAGCCCTCAGAATGTTTACAGAATGTTTACACAGACGTTGACTTTCAAATGGACGCCGGCCAAATTATCCCTCCAATAGTATTGTATTTCAACGTCATATTGTGTATAGAATATTTTACTCAGTTTCAGTCTCACGATATATGTATAATTCTAAGGTAATTATACGGTCTCTACAGCTTATACAACTTATTTTTTTGACCGTTACAACACAAAAGTTGTTGTGTTGTGACGGTCAAATAAATAAGTTGTATATATTGTAACAGAGCAGGATGCATAAAATGAAAATTATACGGTCTCTACTACGACATATGTCGGCCACTATTTCTGGCCATCATCAGGCAGTATTTTATACCGTCCCTCTCAAATTTCTCTGATATACCCCACCTCCCTTGGCCAGTGTTTACAACTCGGGGAAGGTCGTATTTTTGTTCACAATGCAGGCCCTTAGTTGTACACTTAAATAAATATTGTAAATGTGTCCTAGCGTTCCGAAGGGCATCTGTTATTCGCAGTTTTGTATCAGCCCTGAAACTGTTTTTATAGAGTTACTTTGGTTTCAGTTAAATTAAAATAGATGAGATAAACTTCAACTAGTTAAAATTAGACCAATACTGGTAGAGTATTAATTATTCTTGTTGTTAATACTGCAGTTTTGTTATTTTAATTCTTATTTTGTTTTATTTAGACGTATAGTCCTGGGTCCTATGTAATTAACGATCGTTTCCTTGATGAGCATGGTAGCACCAGGTTCTCTTAGGGTACGTGCATTCCTACGTACTCTGTTTCCATATACTGTGCGGTCCTGTTTGCGTACTGATATGTTCGTGGTGCTTGCTCGTGTAGTACTCTTAGAATGATACATATATTGTTAAACTGAACGAAGAGAAAACCTCTCCAAGGTCATCATCCATAATGTTGCTTCGATCATGCTAGATGTATTAAGCCCTTCAGTCAATATGCAGTTGTTAAATAATCTTCAAACCGTTACTATAGGATTCTGACGATGGTGTATAACACACTGATATGTTGGGATTTTGGACTTTATCCATCGTCCTGGTTTTTAAGATAACAAATAAAAACACGACGTTTCGGAAACTGGATCTGTTTCCGTCCTCAGGTGAAGGAAAACACCTATACACACTGGACGATCCAGTGATTGAGGCTAGCTCTTTCTAAGGGACCCAACTGAATAGGTGTTTTCCTTCACCTGAGGACGGAAACAGATCCAGTTTCCGAAACGTCGTGTTTTTATTTGTTATCTTAAAAACCAGGACGATGGATAAAGTCCAAAATCCCAACATATCAGAATCTTCAAACCGTTTCGGGAATCAAATTGGAACTTCCTGATTTATGTGACACATGATGATACAAAAAGAGGCCAATCCATCACAATTTGCTGCTGACCCCCAAACTGCACAGAGCAGTTTCGCGACCGAGTCCCACACACTCTCCCCTTACACCTATAAGAAACTCTCTCAACCCTTATGTTAAATTGGCGGGACATGTAACATGCATGACGGAAGAAGACCACGTAATTACTAGGATAATATTAAAACAGATATTTGAAAACGGCACAGCAATACAGAGTCGGAACGGATACCCATACGTTGTTCATGATTTTCCTCATCCTCTCCAGGATTGTAAACTGCCTTTAAACGGATTATTTACTGCCTCCACAATAACTAGCGTCTGCAGTTGATGCCGCGTTTCTAAACAAAAGTGTTTGCACTTAACAACTCACCGTTGACGTCATATGTCCTCCAGCCATAGGCCACGTTTAACTCCTTCTTTCCATCGAACAATCCGAAGTGAATTCTTCCATCAGATTCCTCTGGGTTCGAGTCCCGACGTGCACGTGCCACAATCCAAAACTTGGTTCCCAGTGCAGCTACCAGCAGCGCTATGCCTAGGCAAGACCCGAAAAACGTCACAAAAATCATCCCCCGCTTAAATAAATTCATCTTCCAATATTCAGTTCCACTCAAATGTCACATAGTCGCTATGGCGACCTATACGGCCGTCTTGTGTGCTATCCCAGCATTAGAGTCTCCAGACATGAGCGTAACCATGACAACCAGAACTCTCCACGTCGACTGAACAACTGGCTGGATCTGAGTTAATGGTGAGAGGGCAGCTATAGTGAGCAACAAACATACAACACGGCAACAAAATGCCAAAAAAGACCACAAAACTGACGAAAGTTAATCAACATATAGCCATTGAACCCAACTATTATACCGCCTTAGTGTTCCAAATGGTTTCTTCCCTAGAGATTTACGTGCAAACGTTCCTTACAAAGTTTTAAGTCGCCTATAATAAATGTAGTCTCCGAAGAGGGGCAGCTATGTTTTGTGTAGATCTACATTTGATAAATTTAGAATTGTAACTTTTTCTTCCGTGATCTCTGTTAAAGTTTTCGTTTTCTATGTGATGCCTACGAAACATTCATTCGAAAAATGAAGCTTGAACGAATCAGTAGTCCCATTTCCGAATTGACTGCATTCCGAGCACTATAGCAACTGAAGGTAAAACGGACAAACAAAAGAAGAATTAACCATTTCCAGCTGACAGGCTTTCACATAGATGGCAGAGTTCTACAGTCGTATTGAACGAGTTTTCAGAATGGCCAACATCGGAATTTCAAGCATGGCCTGCAGCATTCTCTACTCGTTTTCAATATCAGCGTTGTTTTGCAAATATTGTCCCAGAAAGAAATGGCCAAATACACACCTATATGACATCATCTATCCATAACGTATCTAAAAATGTATGTTCTGTTGACATAAGAACACTCAACATACGTGAGTTAAATTTAAAAAACTAGGCAAACTTGTCCCCTGAATGTATAGATCCGTAAAAATATAAGATAATGCAAGAAAATTGATTTTCAGTTCACTAATATCATTGCGAATGTCTGTTCACCAAAAACATCGTTGAACAAAAAGAAGAATAAGTAACCGGCCACCACAATACGAGGATGTCCCTTAAAATATTACAGGATGTTTAAAACATGCAACGTAAACATTCCTCTCATAAGTGGTTCTCACCACAGAATCGCGGCTATTGTCTGCAGGTATATGGCGCCGTACAGTCTGGTAGATTCATACCAAACTGTACATCCCCAAAAGGACCTGAAAGGACACATTTAAGAAAATATAACCACAGTTCAGCAGAGGTGGCTTGTACTGTAATTTTTGCGTTTAGCACAGTGTGATTAACAACACCAGATATGTTCCGCAGCTTAATTTCTATATAGCATGTGAGAAAAATAATGTTAAAATTTCTACAAAGAAGAGTGTAAACAACACAGCAAGCCACGAATGGACACGGAAAATACTAAGAATCTCCTTTCTCAAGATAGACGGGCGGCACAAGATCAGCCACCTCTAAGAAAGACAATAGGAGAATTGACACGAACCTGCATGCTTTATAAAAAAAAAAATAATCTTAAACAACAACATTTTTAAGAAAATTTAAAAATTTTGATACCAGGAAGGCTGCTGTGACTGTCAAAAGTTGAACATTGTGTACATTGTGTATTTCATACATTATATGTGTATGTATATAATTTAACAGCTATTGTAATAGTTGTTTCCGGAAAAAGTATTGATGCCCTCTAAGGATGATCCGTAGGGGTCATTCCATGTGAAGTCATCCAGAGAAGTCGCTCACCATTTTTAAAAGAATTCAAGTTTTGTACACTTATTTCTACATATTTTCACACCTCAAAAATATTTTTAAAAAAATTGTAATCCGCTCGGTTCTCCCGGTACAGCCGTTTTTATAATGCGAATAAACGCGTTTTCGGCTCAAATGGAGGTTTGCGTTATCTCCCGTATCTCGATAACTATTGAAGCTAGGGAGTCCAGTGAGAAACCAATTTATTCCTCATGATATGGACTATAAATCATAGCATTACAAGGTTTCACTCAACTCACTTCCTGTAGGTCTAATTAAGCTCGAAACTTACCTATCGATTTTGGGAAAAACGCTATTTTTCACCTTCAAAAACCAATGGGAGGGGGAAAGTATCAGATCTGTGGCTTCTACCCTTTATTTTCCACTACATGAAGAATATAATCACGTAGTTTTGAACACCGTATCTATTTTCCAAAATTTTCCAGGACCTTCCAAACTTTGCTCTGGGCCCCAAATCGGCCATTTTTAACATCTCTATATCCAGTGGGGAAGCTCCGAAAAATTTCAAACTCGTAGCAAATAATGCTCTATTTCAGAGTAACATGGAGTTAACATTATAACTTTTATATTCAACTAATAGCGAAGTTGTGGGCACTTTGGATTTTACCAAAAAGAAAATCAATACCTCAACAATTGGCTTACCTGCATCCAATGGTATTAGTTCTTTGTGTACTCCCATCAATATTTTCCAGTTTGTTTGAAAGTACACGTGGGTCGGCAAGTGTCCACTATCAAGAATTCTTCGAAATCATCGGACTTGGATGTTTTATAACACCTGACCGTGTTTTCCTCCAGATGGGCGACCCGGTGTTTTTCTCTTGTGTGGAGCACAGTTTTGCACTTTTGGAAAATTCTTTTTAGAATGATTTCATTTCTTGCAACTTCCTCTTTTGGCACAAAAATGTAAACTATCCCTGGGATATTTTGTGTGCAGAATATTTACAGTTCTAGCGGGCACTTGATTTGATTAAAATGAGTTCTTTGAAGACTGGCTTTCGTTGCTTGCCTCTTCGTTGTGCTGCCAATACCGTCGCAGGCTTTCTTCCCGTGCGAGGTGGCAAAGAAGTTCCATTCTGCTCCAAGTCCGAAGTCTTCATAGTGATAACATAAATTGGAAAGATTCTCTTTGTTTTTATATTGGCTTCCAGCGCCTGCACTGAAATAAATAACTTTCCTGACTGAAGGCACATTTCCTTTTACATCGGCGATAAGAAATTTTTGCAACACACAAACTGTGGCTCTATCGTGCTTTACATGATCACTGATTATACACAAGGTTGGGCATTTTGTTATAGTGTCCGCCTTGCAGTAATACACAAAAGGGTGACGTGTAGCCTGCTGATTTACCCAGTGGAAACTTTGAAACTCGTCTTGAACGAGAAACGAACAATTTTCTGCAAAATCTGTAAAACTCAAGGTGCCCACAGCTTCGCTATTAGTTGAATATCAAAGTTGTAATTTTAACTTCAAGTTACTCTAGAATAGAGCATTATTTGCTATGAATTTCAAAATTTTCTAAACTTCCCCACCGGAGATATGAAATGTTAAAAATGGCCGATTTGGGGCCCAGAGCAAAGTTTGGAAGGTCCTGGAAAATTTTGGAAAATAGATACGGTGTCCAGAACTACGTGATTATATTCTCCATGTAGGGGAAAATAAAGGGTAGAAGCCACAGAACTGATACTTTCCACCTCCCATTGGTTTCTGAAGGTGAAAAATAGCGTTTTTCCCAAAATCGATAGGTAAGTTTCAAGCTTAATTACACCCAGAGAAAGTGAGTTGAGTAAAACCTTATAATAATATGATTTGTTGCCCATATCATGAGGAACAAATTGGTTTTTCATTGGAGTCTCTAGCTGCAAAAGCTATGGAGATACAGCAGATAACGCAAACCTCAATTTGAGCCGAGGACGCGTTTTCTCGCATTATAAGAACAGCTGTACCGGGAGAACCGAGCGGATTACAGTTTTTTTTTAAATATTTTTGAGGTGTGAAAATGTGTAGAAATAAGTGTACAAAATTTGAATTCTTTTAAAAATGGTGAGCGACCTCTCTGGATGACCTCACATGGAATGACCCGTAGGAATCGAAAGGGTGATAAGTTTTCAAGTGATAAAACTTAAATAGTCACACTGGACGGTGTTATTTTTGTCTTTGTAATTGTTAGTGTGACGGATCAGAATGAAACAAATAAATTAAAATTTCTGTTACAGTTCCCTGTTTAGTATTCTATGGTATCCATATTATGTAACCATTTCCATATTCTTAAAATTCTGACTAATGTATGACTTCGGCTTTGAATAATGACTGCTTTTACTCTGTCTACGAGACGTATTTAGCTTCTAAAATTTAATGTTAAGAAAATAATCCATGAAGCCGGGATAGCGTAGTCGGCATAGCGATTGGTTACGGGCTGGACTACCGAGGGGTTGGAGTTCGAGTCCCGTTATGGCCAAGAATTTTCTCTTCTGCACGTTGTCCATACCGGCTCTGGGGACCACCCAGCCTCCCATCCAATGGGTATCGAGGGCCCTTTCCCCGGGGGTAAAGCGGCTGGGGAGTGAAGCTGACCACTCACCTCAAACTATTGCCGAGGTCAAGAAAATGTGGATCTATACATCCATTCCTCCATACGCCTTCATGGGTAATGCTTAATTAGTCAAGCACAGGGACAACTTTACCTTTACCTTACCTCATTTCCATAGTAATCTGTGTTGACTATTATAAACTACAAAGGACAAAATATTAAAAGAATAGTATCTTCTGGGATATAATGCCGTGTAGTCCGTTGAAAGTCAACTGGCATTTCGGAGAAACATATCGCCTCCATTTGAGCTATCTTGAGGGCCCAGCAAGCCGAACAAGATACCAATGAGAAAGCAGATGACATTGGAGGCGATTTATTCCTCCGCAACGTCGGTTGACTTCACGAGCGCACGAACTACGTCCGTTGCAACGAACGTACTTTATGACGGACGTTGCTGAGGACACCACACAGTTGCAGAATGCGGTGCGTAGTATTTTGTCTGCAATAGAGCCAGAAGAAAGCATAGCATTCGCCTCTCTTGTTTATTTCTACAACGGACGCATTTTGTGCGCTCCCAGCCTGAAACATGAACACATGGCGTTATACCCCAGATGATAGCGCTCCATGGTGCTCTTGGTAACAACAGCTGTGAGAATTTCAAATCAAATTATTACGTTGGCAATTCTGCAGAAGGGAAGTCGCGGTCGTCGCGGTGCATGATGGATATGCTTATTGCGAAATGTGCTTGAGTTGACTGTTAATTAAAATTGTATTACGTTAAAACGAAGGGCCTAGTTATAGGTAGGAGAATATATTTTTTCAGTTGAATCTGATAAATAAGATTTTTTCTTGTTTGTTTTGAATACAAATTTGAGTTTAAGGCGGAAGGATATACGTTGCAGTGAAGGACAGCTTAACCACAGTAGGTTTCTATTAGAAGTCAAAACACATCATATCATTTTTTCATTTAGCATTGCAGTTTCAGATGTCACTGAAATGTCGGAAGTGTCGTCAGGTTCTGTTAACGCAGCATGATGCTGTACTAACGGCACATGGAGAACACATCGGTGCCAATGCGGCCTGTGCAGCAGTACAATTTGGTGCAGTCTTTTATTTGCAAGAGGACCGGCTTCCAGCCTGGATCGAGACAATTGTAGACAAGGTCTGTAATGGAGATACCTTCCAGGTTCTAAGTCCAAAAATTGTGCAGTGCACGAATTTCTTAAGGTGGTAACAATCTGGGAACTGAATCTGAAAACTCAAACAAACGATTCTGAGTTAATTCATGTCGTCAGAATAGTTCTCCTCCTTTCAGTTTCCAGTCTTCCAAGAGCATTTCTGCTGAGATTCCTTGTGCATTTCTTGTTGCCCTTATCAGTGCCGAATAAATATGGTAATGGTAGATAAGCTGTATAAATTGTAAATTTCTCAATTACATGATTTCTCTCTTAATTTGTGTCTCTTAGAACCAGACTTTTCCTTGGTACCCTGTGCTGTTTTGTAAAGCCGTGAACTGTGACCTCACAGTTCATGGCTTTACAAAACAAATGGCAGGCTTTATGGTCAGTAGATAGCATGGTGACAGAGTGTGGCACCAATTGAAATGATTCACTGTTATGTTGTGTGAGACATCAAGAGGCCCAGCAATCTTGTACAGCGTATGTAAAAGCAGTGGAAGAAACATTTTAGCCATGTAAGGACTTTGAAGAAGATGTGGAAGTTAGAGACTGTCATGGTGTGTTCATTAACACTATTTCTTCATATTTGGGAGTCAGGGTGCTGATCATGAGTGAGGCCTTCCTCAGTCGTCTTATGTAAGTTCTGAGATAGCATGTTAGAACATCTGCTGTTGGTAACTTTTATGTAATCTGAAATGTTTTAGAACTGAACGTTTTTAGTTTTAATAGAGGTGGTGTTACATGTTTGTTTGCTTGTTTATACATGTAAAAATTGACATTTTCTGCAGCAACATGGGACAGTAGTTCACTGAAGTAGCCATGTCTTAGTGAGTAGCTGTTATACTTTTGCTTTGGACAGAACTTAAAGTAAATGACCTCTTCCAGGTAATATTCAGTATGAAGTTCTCATATTTCTGTGCTGCTGAGTGTTCAGATTATGGTCTCCTGGATGGTGACACTGCAATATTGCAGGTGATGCGAGCCCAGTCAAAGCACCTGCTTCTCCCCCCCACCCCCTACCTCCCTCCAGTGAGCTTGCCACATCCTGACCCTAATTATTATTATTATTATTATTATTATTTTGGAGGGGGTGGGTTTCCCCATGCACTGCGACCATTTGTTGATCTATTGTGCGTCCCCCTTTAATTATTCTACTAGTTGCCATGCCCTTCCAGTACTGGTGCTCGCCATCAGCCCCGTTCTACCAGCGAGGTCGGCCCTCTCTGGCAGTGGTCCCCGATACTTCCCCATCTACCGGAGGAAACTACTTGGGCGGGAAACTTTTTGCCTAATTTTGTTCAGAGGTCTCCTACAGACATGAGGATCTTTTACATGCCCTAAATCTACGACACAGGACTTGTTCCCTGAATTTTTCTCCCCTTAAAAAATTCCACGACCTCCACCAGGTTTGAACCTGCGTACCTTGAGTCATGAGGTGGGAACATTACCCCTAGACTATGGAGGCCGCTATCCTGACCCCAAACATGGTGGTAGTATGTTCCCCCAAAATGTTGCTACAGCTTCTGCAGTACTACACCATACAGTGTCACAACACAGAAGGCCACATTCTCAGCCATCTCTTCCTTTAATTTTGTGCTCTTGGTCAAGGCAAATATCGCCAAATAAAACAAAGGACAGGTAAAGGTAGGAAGTGAAGAGCATGTGAATTGAAGCAGGTGACTGTTGTACTTGCAGGAGGGTTGGGTGAAAGGACGACTGCACTGTCCCAAATGTCAGGGTCGTGTTGGGGCCTTTGACTTTGTGTCGGGACAGAAGTGTGCTTGTGGGCTGTGTCTTCTGCCAGCAGTGCATCTCATCAGGAGCAAGGTGGACCAGGAAGCCTGTGTTGTGCCACAGGAGCGTGAATAATGACGAGTCTCTGATCTTTTCCTTGTCACATTCATTGGTGTTTAGATCAGCTTATGATGGAGGTGAGTAGTCAGCTTCATGCTGACAGGAGCTCAGTAAATACACACTGAGTTCAGCAGATGTGGAACTCTGAATATGTGGACAGCTGATAGAAGGCGTATGGCTAACAGCCCCCTCACTTTAAAGATTTTTGTGTTGTAGAATGGGTACTTGAAGTCACAGAATTGTATTTGGTGGTAATATATGTTTGAACACAGCAATTTTGAATCAGGGACAGTGGTGGGAGGGTAGTGGTGAAATGCATATCATGGAAATTGGATGTTAGAATGTGAACTGGCTTTTGTTAGGACATGTGTGTTAGTTTGTCAACAGTTTGGCAGTTCTTTAATTCAAATCTGGACAACTGTGTATGAGGTTTCACACTTGTTCCTGTCTCATTCCATTCCATTTGCATCTCAGAAACAGTTGCTTATGCAGTCAGACATTATTTCATGAACTCAACCCAGATTCATTAACCTTTAAGTGACGTCCCTTTAAATTCCAGTAATGGCAGCGGGACGGATTTGATTTAAATACCCACAATTTTAAAGCAATAAAAACTGTAATCATTTCCTAAAATTGCTGTGATTTCTACAATTTTTGTGATAAACGAACCAAATAAACACTGTTTTTTTCTAGAAAGAATATAGAATCAGATATTGTAATTTACAGACCTTATAAAATGTGTAAAAATTTTTAGACTGATGCCAATTAAAAAATTCCCATTTGTCATCTCTCTACATGAATTCAGAGTTCTTGGAAGTAAGAATGCTCTATGTAAATGTTGCAACACAGCGGATGGTCTATGTCGCCATGTTTATTCTTGCATGTATCGAAAGATTATACACTTAGTTCTTTTGGTATGCAGAGATGTGGGGTGAGTATCTATTCGTATACAAGAACCCCGATTGTTTATTATCGCTTGTCGCAACACAACAAGCTCTCTGTCCTCACTCTGCTGGAAGTAGATTATAAGTACTTTCATGGTTAGCACAGCCAAGCAGTGTCAAAAGCATGAACCAACCATTGCGCTGTCTTGTTTGGAAGATGCTGACATATTTCAACTCGTAAACGACTCCGAATCAGATTGTTGTACCGACAGTTCTGAGAGTGGCGTTGAGGAAAGTGAATCAGAAATTGATTTCGACGAAGAACCATCATCTTGGTCGGAAACCTGGGGACCACCACACCAGCATGGCAAGAGGAGTGTGAATTATTCAGGTGGAGCTGTGGGCAAACTGTGGCAAACAGTTATAGCATCTGTCGTCGAACCTGGAAATGGACAAATAAACTATTTTTCCATCTCCTGGATCTGAACAGTTACATCCTGTTGTCACACAGAGAATTTCGTCTCGCTCTTGTGAGGAACATGCTGGAAGGGGTCCACCTCGCCATCAACGGCCCAGGGATCGAACCCCTGCCGTTTTATCGGAGATATACCGATTATAGGAGGCCAAACCACATCACTGGCCGACTTCCTCTACTTCGCAATTGAGGTGTCGTGTGTGCTTTTCGCGTGGGAAACGAAGAACCGTCCAGACAAAGTGCGTGAAGTGCGACGTCGGACTCTGGATTTCCGGATGTTTCCAAGATTTCCACACGAAGCCAACATTCCGTTAGATGACGCAGGTGGGAACAGAGACAACTTATAAAGCTGGTGACCTAAAATCATGTAAGTAGAAAAAGAATTTATAACTCAAAATTAGATTTTAAAAAGCCGGCCGCACGCGTGGACTGCGCGACGACATATGGCGTCATTCGTCCCCTTGACTTTATTTTCATGACGCCATATGGAGTCGTTCGGCTCTTAAAGGTTAACAGACTACTTAACATATTTTGGGTCTGTTGTACACCATCCTCAAGCAAAATGTGCTGTTGTATGCACTTGACCTGTGACAGTTCTGGCATTTCATTTGCTAGACTTTGGATCCATCGCCTGTTTTCAAGAATAATTTCAACATCTGTTAGTAGATAAAATGCACAGATCACATACAATAAAAGACTGACATGTGAGCTGATTGTCTAGATAATGTGGGAGCCTTTACTGTCTATTACAAGGATAGTTTTACCTTTGGGGTGTGTGTGTACTTTGGTTTAGGATTCCTGTGTTGGGATCTGTTGAAAAGGGGCTGATCTCAGCCACTGGACCTGGTGCACTGACAGATTAGCTCTCTCTAACAGCTAACAGAGTAGGTGCCCCCTCCAACTTTTCGCCTGAGGATGAAACAGATCTAGTTTTCCAAAAGATTGCATTCTGTTTGCAGTACTAGACAATGGATGAAGTATAGAAGCCATTATATTATATGACTGGATCTCCTATAAGAGAGAAATGATAAATACATCTGTTTCTGGCTCACAAACTTCAAAAAGAAGTTGACACTTTGAACTGTCTGAAGACGATTCAAAGGGTTCGCCCCGTGAAAGGCGTCATGGAATTGCAGTCCACCACAGCCAATGCTCACATATTTCTTGTAAAGTTCTTTTCAACGATGTCACATGACCCTCCCCCTCTTTTTTCCTTCCTCCTCTTCTTGTCGTGGTAAGATGACACAAACGATCGCTCTCTTTCCCTGGGTGGCGGTCGTTCAGGGTGGTTGTCCCTGTTCTTAGAAATTTCTGTTTGGTTTCCTTTCTTTTTCAAAATTAAATTTATTTTTGGAAGTCAGCGCTGTGTGTCCCGGGAGAGGGCCCCTTTGCCGAGCTATGGAGCAATGGCGAGGCAAAGGTGTTTTATATAAATATATATGTATGGGTACCCTCTGAGTATATATACACCCTGTGAGTATATGTACACATGTGAGTATTGGTATTTTTTTCTTTCCTTGGTTTGTGAAAGTAAATGGTCAGTGAAATGGGCGGTGGCCCATGAATAAGGTATTGGCTTGAATGACCGGAGTGGGTCATGCTAGGTTTTTTGTAATATTATTTCTGGTATTCACGTCATATGTTTTTTTCCTTTATTATTGTTAAATGTATATTTATTTCGTTATTATATTATTGTAATTGTTAAACTCAGTCAGCATAGCTCTCAATTTGTGCGTGTATTTCCCACAACAACAAGTGAATGAACTCCCCCTTTCCCTCTCCTGAAATTTCGGACTGGTTACAGTCCGGGTAGGTAACAGTTCAACTTGTATTGATAATGTTAATGTGTGCATCATAAATAAACATTTATTAAATACGAATCAGAACTTAATCAAATATTGGCACAAATATTACAATCATTTGTAATGGAAATATATTTAGTCTACATTTCTGCTGGACAAGTTTAAAGTGAATAGTATACAAATTGTGAGAGACCATCAACTGGAAATGGTAAAACTGAGATCCATGTTACACAACTGTGATGCATGCTTCAAGGCATCTTGTATGTAATGCAGTATGGATGTCAATGCTCTTAACAGTCTCAAAAGGGAACATGGGGAAAAATTTGTATTTGCTTGATTTATAGACTGTAGCCTGATATACTTGTTCTGGATATCTTTAGCCTGATTTCTAAATAGGAACCAGATGCAATAAATAATTCTGGAATTATTTATGAATTTAATATTGTAAAAATTGAGGTAACTTGTTGATCGGAATTTGTGTTGGGCATTGAGAGCCCAGACAGATTAACGATCAGTAACAGTTGTGTTTAGATCTGTACAATGTACTGGGAGTTGCAAAGTCCACACACAAACATAGTCTGGCATCATTCTCCATAGAAATATTCTTTTATGCTTGTTGTTGGTCAGCATTAACCACTTTGGTGTGAGATTTTCATATACAGGAAAATACAATGGATCTGGATTATTTTTGGAAAAATGAAGACCTCTGAGTATTTCAGTGTGATCGAGATGTACCAAGGATGCTTATTTTGCTGAAGGGTTCCTGAGGAAACATCACCACCATCTCTGAGGAGAATCCAAAATTATGTACTACCAGAGAAAATGGAATATTTTGTAAGATCGTCCTTGGGCCATCTAAGCCTTTTATGGAATAATTCTGTAAGCAGAAACTCACGCTGGCAAGTGAGCAGCCATAATTCTTGTGGTGTAGTCACAATGTGAAAACAAGTTTCCTGTAGTTCCGAGTTAATTATTCATATAGTATCAAACATGCATCCACTTTGATATTTTGCACCAGTTGTGTTGTTCACATTGCTGTCAAGTTACTGTGAAACCATTTTTCAAATCTGAAGACCAGAGTAGCTGTGCCTGAGAGGACCTGGAGTGACTGCACAGGGCACTGTGTAAGAAACCTGTGAGTCATGAGGAGTATGTGGTTTTTATGGGTTTGTGTTTGTGACCAAGAAAAGCACACTGGCACAGACAGGAGACTCAGCTCTGACAAGAGGAATGTCCAGATACTGACAGTATGATGGCACTGCAGTGTTCCAAGCAAGACACATTTATCCACAACTATTAATTACAGTTCTAATGTCTTTAATGTAAACATTAATTTGGCTTCATGGATGTGGTACAAATTGTAAGTAAACAAGAGACATAATCGGTAAGCAGCGGTCCCACAGTCATTCACTGAGGAAATTGGAGGGTCCAAAGACAGCGTGTTGACATTCATGTGGTCATGACTGTAAGGATTCCTGTCTTGTGGCATATGATGCCATGTAGTCTTGTGTGGAGGTGTCTGACTCAGTCTTCAGGGTGGATAGAGAGGGAGGACTCAGGGCAGTTGGTAAGATCCCACCAGACTTCATGGCATCACACCCTGAAAGAGAGGACAGTGATCTTCATAATGTAAGCTGCTTGATGTAAATTCCATGCACTCGACACAGTTCCAATAAATGTGTGGAGCTTGTGAAACAAGTATGTGGAAAGCTCTAAATGTTCAAGTGTGGTTATGCATCTCAAAAGGAATTATGAAATGTCTTGTTGCACTGTACCAGGTCACCATGGCAATGTTTGTTGGTATTGAATATCCTTGTCATGAACAGGCAGCACTTCAGTAAAATCGCCATGTCATTTGCTTCAGTGAATTTATATGATATGAGAAGCAGCTTGTCTTTCTTACTAATTAAGAATTCTGTTTTGGAACACTCTGGCACCATTGTGTGCATTGTTGTCAGTACAGGAAAATGACTCCATCTGTGTTCTCCTCCATCTTGATGGTAGGGGGTGGTGGCTCCCGAGACAGCAGATATTCGCGAACCCCAAGCAGTGTCAGGTTGGCGATGTGAAGGAACAGCACGATGAGGAGTAACCTGTGTCAGTAACAGTGTGAAATGTTAACTTGGTGTCTCCACATAAACAGTTGCGTGACATTTGCAGATGAAGGAAACACAGAATGTTTACAATATCTTGGTTGGAAAGATGTGTGGAAAGAGATTATTAGGGGGAGACAGGTGTAGATGAGAGGATAATATGATGGTTCTTAGAGAAATGTGGTGTGAAAATGTTTCGATCATGTATATCCCCTCATTAGGGAGTTCAGTTTTTTCTGAAGTATTTCCTGTGTTCTCAGCATCTATTAAAATGTACCTCAACAGTGTAATCTAATGTGATTGCGTGTAATTATACAGCTGTGTTCGTACACCTGAGGTCGAAACGTGTAGTGTAATAATAATAAAAATATGTTGTGTGGTCGGTAAAATTGACTCTAATATTAATTATATGTGGTGAACCCTTGCTAGAGCATAGCCTCAAGGGTACTCATTCTGATGGCAGATGAATATCATTAAAACTTGAGAGATGTCATTTATTTGTACTCAGTGTGATGCATGCTAAGTCATGCAAGGGTAAAAGCTCCAAAACTGGGACAAGCCACCTAGGGCAGATACCCCAAGATACTGCCTATGTTATTAAATTTTCCATCTATTTGTTTTCTTAGGATTTTTTGGCTCTCTTTTGCTTCATTAATCCCAATTATCAGTTAATCTGGATTAGTGAGGGTTTACTGTATATGTTGTCCAGCTTTGATAATAACTGTATTTTACTGAGTATTAAGATGGTTTTGCTCTCACCAGTAAGACACACCAAGGCTTGCTTGCCCCTGTGAACTGAAGATGCCAGTGATGGTCTCTGAGTAGGCTATGTTGTCTGACAGCGTGGCAGCAAACTGGGAGCCCCAGAGAATCATGACCAGGAGTGTGCAGCCCACTGCAACAGTAAACCTGAAGGAGTCCCATACTGTGTTCCTATGTTTACAGTTATGTATATACATTCTTACCCTGCCACTGGTTTAAAAGCTATTGCCATTGACAATGCTTGAATGCCTTCGGCTGTTCATAAAGTGTCATTAAATAGATCAGGTGAATGAGGAAGGTGGATTGCATTCTGTCAGAATTTGAAAATATAATGTGAGTAATTTTCAGTGACACCAGGTTCTTCTTGTTTGGAATTTATCTTCCATGATGCGCATGCTGACAAGTTTCGTTTTCAGACGCAAAACATTGTTATTTCCCACTTTAGATAAAAGCCAGGATTTTTCAGATATCTGTTACAGTACAGCTTTAATGATTCTGTATTGAGTGCTGCAGGTGACGCCTTGAATTAAATGTGGCATGGCCATTGTGTTGAGTGTTGACATGGAGGGACAACCTCCAGTCATTCGAAGCACTCACACCACTGGCGGGCCCATTGTGCACAGCCACCAAGTTGAAATAATATCACTCTCGTCATGCCCGACAGTTTACCTGCAATGCCATTCCATACATACAGACCCAACACTCCTACTATCGGTTCCGTGGGGTTGGTAGTAGCGTTTATGACAGCAAACACTGCTGCCAACACTCCAGCAAGAAGTTCCACTGCCAAAAACAGCACAGAGCTGACCCAGATGCCTGCATTGATGAACTTCTTTTCTGATGAGTCTGGAACATTGTCAGATTCACAGGTGCAGTAAAGTGTAGCCACATCACAATGGCCAGTAGTGTATTTCTGTAGTCACACTGACAGCACAGTCTTGCCACTTACTTGTGTTATTTGCGGTTCCATCGACATTTGGGCACACAAAATCTACAGACCCATGCACTAGGTTCTCCAACTCCTCCTCACGTGCTGTGTCTTCAGTCTGGCAGGACATAAGGCACACATTCTCTGAGAAGAGGCACGACACTGCAACAGAATGTGTGTCACTCTTTACAGAGTCTTTGTGGTTCATGCCTACGGGCTGAAGGTTAGCACAGCAGTTGGTGCAGCACTGTGCAGTAATTACATCACAAGAAACAGGAGCATTGGGGGATGAGTGATATAGTGATACTGCTGCCATCTGAAGTTGCACTGTTATTTAGTGACTAGGAAGCGACACATTGATTCTAGTGCACACAAGGATGAAGATTTTTTTATGTAATTAAAATGTATAAAATAATGTAAACCCTGATTCATATATTTTTTATTGTTAATAAATCAGTTTATCCTTATGTTGTTATAGGGTTTTTGTTTTATTTCTACAGACCTGATATGTTTGCACTTGTTAATATGTTACCTTAAAGAATTTAAAGATACCTACAAGTATATAAGGGTGAGCAGAGATGATCTTCATAATTCAAGCAATTTATTGTGAAGCAGTATGGCAAGATACAACATCTGAACATTTAAACAGTAAACTACAACTGTCTGAATTTATCTTACCACTTAGAGGTGTTCCTTATATGGTATTCCATATACTGTTGGTATTCCAGCTCCTTCCTTACATCTGCTGCAAAGGGAACATTCCCTCAGCACAAACAGCCTGTCCCACAGAACTCTTTGTAAGGTGCATAAGTGGATCCACTCTAAAGTTCATCCAATAGCATTCACTGTTCCACTTGTTTCACACATTTGGCTTTATTAAATCATAGGGTGCACTTCGCTTTTTACAGAGGTGTCACAATTTTTGTGGTGGTAAATCATTGCAACTCCATGTGACAGTTGTAATCTAATGTCTGAAAGGTGGGATGTAATTATCTTGCCTAGTTGTTTCACAGTAGATTTTCAAAATTGTGAAGATCATTTCTACTTACTCTGTATAATAGCCAAATGTCCATTTATTTCTCCAACCCCAGTTTCTTCCAAACATTTCAGTGTAAAATAAATCTGTAAAGACGTGTTCCTGTTGGAGAGACAAGCCTGGGAAAATAAGCTGATTTTGCTGTTACTTGTATGGGTTCAAGTCCAAGCCAGTTTCCTTTCCCTGTTAGTGCCTCCATGAAGACAGTGAGTACATAAACTTGGAAACCAGGCCAGAAAGAGATCCCCAACCCATGCAGTACTTCTATAGCATTCCATGTGAATGTTCAAGAAGCTCCATTGGCAAAATAGGCAGGCCCCTAGTTGTGCAGCTCTGTGATCATAGGTAGGCTGGGATGAAGAAAGGATTTTTTGAAATTGCAAGTAACAGCAAAGATAGGAAATACAATGAATTGACCTATATGACATGCTTAACCATTACAATCTGCCAATCCAGTTTGGATATTTTCTCATGTGTATCTCCCTTGTCAGCAGTGAGGTTTACCAGCTCACTGAGATCAGTATGATGTGACAGATTCCTCACGGGTTTCTATAACGTTGTAGCCCGTAGTGTTCAGGGTTTTACTCCACAGATGTCACTAGCAGCAGGCACAAAATGGTTTCAAAACAATCTCCATTTAATCCTATGCATTGGGTTCTGCGAACTTGGTTTTTGGCTGCTGTGTAAAATGTTCACCTCCCCTTCTATCTTACTTTCAGGTCTGTGCATCCTCTATCACAATTTTTATTTATATTTTCCTGTTACCTTCCTGCACTATAGCCTCTTCTCAGGGGTTCATATAGCTGAAAGTATTCAGTTGAAAAAATGCTTGTCGTGAGTCTCAAGGGGTTTGTCACCAAGAGGCACTGAACTCTGACTCTGAAATGGTTTGTTAGAATTGAACTCTTTTTAAGTGATTCAGTAGAGCAGTGTTTCTCAACTGCAAGGCCACAGCCTGGTGCTGGGTCCTGGCCTCAATTATAACAGGCCCTCGTCTTATAAAAAAAAAATTTACCGGCCCACGGTCTGATAAAGATTGAGAACCACTGCAGTACAGTATGTCTCCCCTGCCTCATCTGAGGATGGAAATAGGCCCAGTTTCCAAAAAATATTCTCTAGATTTCAGATGGACACAACTGAGTGTTATACAGCATTGAACAACAAAAAAAGTTTGTGAAACTGTGATGCAGATTTATCTGTGCTGGCACAGAAATTAAAGTGTTTTTTTTTACAGTTTCTGAATTAAGAAAATGTCTTGTATATCCAAATTTGACACAGTATCAATTCCAAAAAAGATATATACTGGTCAAAAGTTTATAGAGCATGGTTAAATTATGTAAATATAAGTGAACTAAGTACATTTATGCCAGATACATATTTCCTTGACATGAGCAATGAAAATGTTTTTGCCTTGGGTAGTAAATGGACCTGTGTTCCACCCTTCATACTGCAACTATTTCTGTGGCTGGCTGGTGTAACAGTTCCAGTGACCACAGTTACTATTACAAGTAAAATTAATCTCTATTGGCTATGTGGCTTACTGGAGAGGTTCATATTCACTATTCCAGCCCTTGTCCCAACCATGTGACCTACAAACAGCCCATAATTAATGTCACTTGGTTCGAAGGCGCCATCAGGATCAGAGAGGGTTGCTACCACCCAGAAGCTGGTGACTAACGATGTGACAGTCAGTGCCACGGCAGCACAAGCAAGGATGATTGTAGCAATGATAAAGAGACGCCGTGTCGTCGCCATGGTAATAACTGCAGAAGTACAGATGTGATGTCACACTGAAACAATGTCATAATGAAACATGAGTGAAGTCATTTTATGCCCTCGCAAATGAATAACAAAAATAGCACAGCAAACAGTGCGACTAATCCACACTGTAGCTTTCGCAACAAGCTTATTTTTTAAAATGAGTTGTTAGCCCCACGCCCATCCCCCAAGCTGGAGGACCAGCACAACTGAAAGCTTCTCAAGAAGGGCTAAGCTCCATTAGGTCCATGAGTGAGTAGCTTCCGTCATTTCCTCAACACAAATGCCTGGATATAATAATGTCGCCTGTAGGGGGTACGCGTGACGAAAATAACGGGTTCTAGTTCGGATGATTTGATTTATTAGTACCTTAATCACACTTCAATACAGCGCTATCGCTGATTTACACAATACCCAGTTCACCGTTCCACACGCACTAGGATTGTCCATCTTCATTGGTCGTCTCCAGGCAGCAGATCTCAACACGGAAAGTAGCACTTCAAATCTCTATGAAGTCTTCCAGCTGTTTCGTCTTCAGTCACTCTGGAACCTCGGAACAGAAAGTTCTTCTAGACGTTCTAGACTCACTTCTTCAGGTTACGACTATGTTGTACTGTAAGAACCGTTGCGTAACCTAACAACTGGTCACAGAGAACCCCGTTCCTGCTGTTGCTCGGCACGGACGACATATAAAACACAGCCTTATCTATTGTTGCGTGTTTTACGTGTTTATACAGAGCTGTTGCCTGGCAACGTGTTGATCAAATTTGTTACAATAACTTTAAAATACATCACGACAACTTCCTGCTTAATTCACAATTCAGACCGTGTTTTTCTCAGTTCCTCAAAAATCTCTGGATAAAACCTTAAAAATAAACCATGTCCACTTCCGTTTACAGCCCTCAGCAATCCGTAGTCCAGAATGTGGGTTTTCTCAACTTCCTGTGCTCATACCTGGATAAAACTTTAAAGTAGACCAGTTTCACTTGCTCATCACGCTCATCACGTATGAATGCAACCTTAGAACGACCACGGCCAGTTCCTGCACAACCCACAGGAGTTCATAATCGAGACCGTAGTTTTACTCAGTTTCTACTCACTAGTGTTGCAGTGCGATGTCCCCCTACCTGGTGCCCGGATCGCTGTGGCCAACTCATGTTATCTCTGTTTATCTGTTAATCGCTTATCGACATGTGACGTCCGACAGATTACGCCACAAGAATAGTATCTCCTGTCATCTGAAATCATCCTGTGTTTCACAAATATGTGCGAACTCAGGCACCGCATACACCGTGTTGCACGACCGCGACACACGGAACGCTCTTTGTGTCGTTTATCAAGGCTCCCCCCCCCCACCCCCCACCATGTCTCATCCTGCGGCGACCAGTTAACTTTTGCTCGTTTTCCGCACGTGACGTTTTCAATGCAATTTGACTGTTCGGCAAGATGCTCTTCATTTTGTGCTTGTGTGGCCGTTCTTTACGCAGAGCTTCGCATTCTCCTGTTGGGATGTGTACGGAGTTGAACGTAACTTTGGCCCATCCTCTGAATGCCACATGAATCCCGATTTGTTTAGAAAAGTTGGCACTGGCGCTGTCACTTGACTTGCTTCCCAAGTTTCAGTTCATCCCGTTTACTCTCCATTGCCACTGCCTGAACGGCAGAGTTACCCATCACTAGACGAGCATGGCAGGCCTTCGCCTTTCGACAGGAGCATAGTTCAACATTTTTAATAAAGCTCATTTTATCATTGTACTATTATTGTGACATGTGGACCCCACTTCTAGGCAACGCCCGAAATACACACTCAACAATAGAAAAGGTATTGCAAGAATTGTTTTCTGTGGATCCGCGCCATTCCCATTTGCTAGGCAACGGATTTCTAAACACATTCTCGCAGAAGCAAACGCGCGGAACAATAGATATATTTCTAGGTGACGGAGCTGTATACAGGCTTTGTCAATAATGTGGGCTGTGTTTTCCGTAGGGTCTGTGCCAAGTGGGTGTAACAAATTCTCGAGTTTTGAAGCTGGATGTTGTGGAAGAAAGGGGTTGAAGAGAATGAGAATAAGAACGAGAACGGGAATAGAGCGAGTCTTGGGCAGTCATTGATTGTGAGCTGTTGTAATTAATTGTGATTAATATTAGTCGCGATGCCATAAGCTTGTGAAATTTTTACGACCATAAACACGTGACAATATGAAATCAACGTAGAATAACATAATTAAATTGTCATCGGTCACATGCTTCTATCTTTTTTCAGACAGTTTGTATATTCAGTGTATAATGGAGTGATTTTGCTGGGAAGAGAGGAGTAGGTTACCCCTTATTTCATGGATCGTAGCTTATACTGCTTCACTGTTTGAAAGCACGTTCCTCCGATACGTCTGTATCGTCTGTACCCGTCTGTACTCACCGACCAGTGTACGTGATGTCATAACCCACAAGAGCACATTCGTGCGCTTTTCTGTTAATAATAAAATCAATCATCACAGATTATTTACATACACGGAATAGTAATCTAGCCGTGGCAGCCAGGGTTTACAAGTAAAAGAAGACCGTCACAGGCAGGCAGTAGAAACTGACATAAGAGAAGGTGAAACAGTGACCAGAGAGCCATTAAAGACCAATTTGAATTCCCGCAATTACATGTCGTTTTTGTCGAGCCTGGTCTAGTGATGACGGTGCTGA